GCGTGAACCCGGGAGGCGGAGCTTGCAGTAAGCTGAGATCCGGCCACTGCACTCCAGCCTGGGCGACAAAGCGAGATTCCGTCTCAAAAAAAAAAAAAAAAAGAAAAACAAAAAATTACACACACAGCCACTCCTGGACCCAACTATTCCACTTTGGGGAATTTATCCTACAGATGGCTGTGCAGGTGCAAGATGATGAAGGTGTAAGATGACGCGCTGCAGCACTGTTTGCCACAGCCAGAGACTAGAAATGAACCAGATGTCTGCCAGCAGGAATAGGGGTGGAACATACATGCAATGGAATATTACACAGCTGGACAGAGTGAACAATGAGGCTCTTTATGTACTGATGTGGAAAGATCTTGGAGATACATCACCAAGTGAAACAGCAGGGAGCAAAATAGTATGTGTTACAGGTTACTTTTGCATAAAGGGAAACAAATCCAGAGTTAACATTTGCAGTAAGTTTACCTAATGCAAGTCTTTGAAAGGATATAGAGGACACTAAGTTAGAGGACAGCAGGAACTGAGCAGACGAGGCTAGATTAGGAGGGAGCTTTCTGACTGTGCAACTTCTTATACCTTCTGGCTTTGGATCATATGACTGCACTGCTTTCCACTACAGGTGAAGGTGTCAGAGAGCAACTTCACTTTTCATCCTCCCATCTGATTTAATTTTTTTCTTTACCATCAGCAAGCGTTTATTCTATCAGATCAATACATACACAAACATGTATGTCCCTAATTACATACAAGGGGGCATATGGAGACAGCAGAGCATGACAAAGGGGCACGGCAGGGCTCAGGTGTGGCAGAGCAGGGCATGGCCAGGGCCTCTCCATCAAAACCACCGCCCACTGCCTGATCCAGCAACTGGAAAGCAACAGGCTTTGATGACTGAGGACCTAAGAGGCGAAGAAACCTGCCCAGGATCACACAGCAAGCAAGCTGCTTCTCCCCACTGCCCTGCCACAGCCTGGCCCCTGGGGGCTTCCCTCCCTTGCAGTGGCCCAGGGCAGGGTGGGGGTGCTGACCTTGTGGACACTCCGGGGATTTTCCAACCAGGCGAAGTACATCTCCTCCATGTAACTGGAGCTGCCTCCATCTTTGCTGCTTGGGAGGATGGCCGGTGGCCCGGAGGACCTGCTGCGCCAGCCAAACACTGGGACTTCATGTGCAGCCAGAAGCCTCACAGCCTGTGCCCCAAGACGGGATGGCAACAGCCTCAGCTGATTCATTCTGGACACAGGCAATGAAGGAGAGGCATAAACGACAGGACTAAGACAGGAAGAGGCTCTACCAAGCCACTGTCCGCTCATCAGCACTTGTCAATCCCACTGGGCAGATGGTGCCAGGCTAGGCAGTGATGAGACTGGGAATGTGACACTCTCCCAGCTCCCTGGGCTTACTGTCTGGTGGGAGCTCCCAGCTCAGTAAACTCCAATAGCCATCGAACAGCCCTGAGCCCCAGCACTGCTGTGCCCCACACATCCCAGACCACACTCCTTCCCTGATAGCCCCCAAAGCCTGGGCAGAGACATGAACCCAGGCCCTGCCTCAGGGAGCACTCAACCTAGGTCCTGGAGCCCACTCAGAGAGCCACAGGGCAGGTGCAGGGAGTACCACCAAGAAGGAGTGGGTCACAGGCCCACCACCCTAGAACCAGGGCAGGGAGTCCTCCAGGGGCCAGGTGTGTCGTGCATGGTCAGGGAAAAGCAGGGATAAAAACATCCAGTGAGCACAGGTGTCAGGGGATGATAGAGACACAGTATCTCAGGAGGTCTGTGGCTCTAGTCATTGCAACCAAAAGTGACCAGTGACTACCTGTGACTGTGATCCTGGCCCAGAGTGCCCTCTCTCCCAGGCCCAGCCAGAAGGATGGTGACACTAGGCCCAACAATGACCCCACTTCACTGCAGGAAGGGCTAAGGTCTGGAGGGGCATGAAGAGCAGAATGGAAGGCAGCCCCAGGCCCAGCACAGCCCTTGGACTGGAACTGCCCTCCCTGGCTCCCATACTCTGGACACCCTGAGAGCTTACACCCAGGACCAGTGCCACTCCAGACAGCTAACAGCCCAGGCAGCTACAGACTGGAAACCCACCCAGGCCGGGGGAACCAGGCCCTGCAGCTCATCTCACCTCACTCTGTTACCTGTGCCTTCCCAGGGAAAATACCTAATCTTGGTATTTTCAGTGATGGGCTTTCAGTGATGGGGGCTTCCTCCATTCCTCAGAGGGTAAGAGTTCTAAGAGCCTCTGCCAATCCTGAAGAACCCCCAACTCTCCCTATCCAGGCAGGTAAGGGGTTGATAGGGCCCGCTGAGGTCCCAGATCACCCCATACCCCTGCCACTTCATCCTACACATGATGCATAAAGTGGGACCTCTGTTCCCCACCCTACAACTGTAAACAGAACCCCCTCCTCTGCTCCAGCACAGCCACTGCCTGGACAGAGCAGCTCCCCGTCAACACCAGCTAATGCCCTCCTGCCCAGACTGCCCAGCTTGTAAGCTGGGTGCAAGAACCACCCCACCAGGGGTCGCCCACACAGGAGGAGTCCCCTACCCCTGGACAGCTCAGGCCCCAGAAAATGTGCATTCTGGGGTATAACTAGCTCCCAAGTACTGCCCAGGCCGGGCCCTGAGCCAATGCTCCTGGTCAGGTGTGCTCAGCCAACAGGCCACCTGTTGCACCCTTCTGCCTCACCCCTGCCATCAGCTCAACCATGTCACCAGGAACTCACTGGCTGGACTTTGCACAAAAGGTCAGGCCTCATCAGAGGGCAGGGCACAGCCCTCCCTCTAACTCACATAAGCCAGAGGAAAGGCGTAATGTCACCTTGATGGAGGGAGGACAGGCTCCTGGGGCAACCAGCAGCAAGCCTGAACAGAGAAAAATTTCAAAACAAAAAAGATTCCACTGTAGGGAGGAGGGAGGTGAGCTTGGGAGCCTCTGAGTGCCCTAAGTTTCCCTCCCACATGCTCAGCCCCTGAGGCTTCGGGCCATGTGGCCCAGCCCACCAGCCAGTGATGCCAAGCCCTAGAGTGCAGGGCACTCAGGGCCGGCTCCTCTGGAAGCAGGACCTCTCCAAGTGCCAGGCATGAGCTCTGGGGTCAGGCAGCCAGGGTCCCAACTCCTGTTCTGCCTCTGACCATCCCAGAGGACTGGGCAAACAGAAGTCTGTGCCAGCCCAGCTGGCCACTGGGCCCAGGAGCTCCTGAAGCATCAGGGAGACTCTTCTGGAGCATCAAAAAGAATCCAACAACCCAGGACGCTCTATCATCCCCAGTCTATGGCAAGGAAACTAGATATTAAGACCATCGTCATGGGAATAAACATAATAGGCACCATCAGGAGCACTGATTCTGGGACAGATACTGTGCTCATTTAATTCTTCTCAACATCCTATGGGGTGAGCACTCACATCAGTTTCACTTTATAAACAGAGAAACTGAGGTGCAAGAGGCTAAGCTGGAGAGTGACAGGGTTGTGTGTGGTTCCAGGGACTGTGCCCTGATCACTGCAGTCAAGATGTAAGCCAGATTTCTCTTAGCGATGCAATTCCCATCAGCTGAGTCAGAGCTGCTCCCTCTGCCAGCCCCAATCCCACCCCCACAGGGGAATGGGGCAGTTTGGGCCAGACAGGGACAAAGTCTGGCTGTGTCCAGAATGGCCTGGTGCAGGAACACTGTGTTTTATAAACACTAAGCAGTCGGGGTTGGCCACTGGACACTGCTGTGGCCTTGACCCAGCCTGGCAGGAGGGCAGCCTGCCACTCACCCCCACCTGCATCCCAGCAGGGCATGAGGGCTCAGTATCTAGAGCCAGAGCCCAAGCCAGCCCTGCTAGTTCCTGCCCATACAGTCAAAGACAGCAGCAAGGAGTGAGAGTCAGGTACCCTGTGCAACTCCCTGCCGAGTCCAGACTCCAGCAGAGTCGCCCTGGGTATCTCTTGGGGGTCTCTTCTCTTGAAGACACGGTCACACAGCATCCCCAATCCAATCTCAGAACCTCAACCCAACCCCAGAAAACTGCCGACACCATGCCCACTAAGACTCCCCTACACATGACCCTGTCTGGGGTGCCCTAGTGAGGACTGCTCCCTAATGCACCCATTGCAGAGATCAGTAAACAGAGGCCGGGAAGGGTTCTCCCCAGAGGGCCCTCCAAGCTGGGCAGCAGCAGAGCCTGGATTCTCTCAGCAGCAGGTCTACTCTGACCCCACTTTCTGAGAAGCGGATGAGCTTTGCTCAGCAACAAACCGCAACTCTAATTAGATGGGGCCTATTCCAAGACACTGGGGAGGGGATGCTAGCGCCTGCTTGAGCCAGGCGGCCCAAGGGCGTCAAAGGGGTCTCTCTGGTTCGGCGAATGCGTACTGCAGCCTGCTGTGGCCTCGGGATTACCCCGTCACCCTCCCACATCTCCCTAGGGGCGGAAGAAGCACTTTCCATGGTAGCAGCGACCTCAGGCCATGCCGCCCTCTCTCGGGACTCAGTTTTCTCATCTGTGATTGGAGACCGCGGTTAAAATCGTCTATTAGGGTCCTTGGACGTCCGAAGCTGCCTACGGGTCCCGCCAGGCGCAGAGCGCTGACCCTCCCCAACCCCGGCACAGCTCCCGCAGCCCTGGGCC